TGTATTACCTTCCTAATGAGAGAAGGTCACACACTTGCAGTACATAAAAAATAGCAGCATGAAAGCGTTGCGCACTGTTTGCTCCATGTCTCGTTTAAATTAGCCATGAGCCCTGCTCGTGCTGATATAGATCGTCTTTTAGACAGCGTCTTTGTATATATGTATGTTTTAGTGCACATGCTGAATTATAGTGTTGTTTTATTATTTTAGCAAAGCTAGCCCTTGCTTGAAGTGTGTGGTAAGTGTATATGTGGAGAACCAGTCATTAGTTTTCTACTGCATGTAAGCAGGCTATGCATGTCATATTAAAGCTTTGAATCAACTTCACTATACTGTAATGTGAGGGTTTTATTAGCTGCCTAGATTCATTAATTTAATGAATTAGATTAGGCTTGGTCTTTATGATTGGTGTTTATGATTTTGTAAATATTTGTTGTGTTTATTCAACAAACATTTACAACTCATTGTTTATTATGAGTGTGTACGAGAAAAATATTTTTTTCCTTCATTTATCATATTTATATGGACCCCTCTGAGAAACCCTTTGGCCACCCCTTAAATAGAAGTCTCGCTCCGCCACTGGTTTGTGGATAGCTTAGTGAACACCTGTATGAATGACTGTCCTTTTGAATGGGGACTCGGCACAGACCTACAGGAATCCCAGGTGTCGATGACGACCGCAGAATGTTCTATATGGTTCTGGATACAAAGCTGCCCAGAATGTCTGTAAAATAAACTTCCTTAGTGGGCAAGATCCTGACATAACAAAGAAACTATGAAATAATTCTGCTTGATGGCAAAGGATGAAACTAACAGCTGGGCCATCACTCTCACTCTGCCCCCCCCCCATACTAATACACGGCTAATTTGCTGCATACCCTTAATTATTCATTACAGGTGCAAACGGGGGCTTGTTCCCATTGACACTCTTGGCTGACGTATCGAAAGGTGAAGAGGATATTAAACATGACTTGCACAGAAATGTAAACAGCATAAAAACTGTAATGGGTTTCTCATTGTGTTGTTAGCATGACTGGTTGTGGCTAGAAGTGGAAAATATCAATTTATCTTTATTCATGTCGGCAGAGATGGACAGTATTTCAATTAAATGTATATAAAATATGCATTTAATTACTTTGAGTAAGGAAAAAAATCAGTTATAATTTTTAACAAAATACTTTGAGAGATTGTATTTTATGTATTTAAAATATTTAAAATACTTCATGAAATATGTCATTTTATCTATCTACTCTATCTGTCTATCTATCTATCTATCTATCTATCTATCTATCTATGTTTTCAATTTAATTAATAGAACCTTCTCCGCCAGACTTACAGAGTTTAATACAGTATACCACCTTGGACCAGTAATCCAAGGAAAGAAGCTACTTTGGTGCAAATTGCGTTAAGGTAAAGTAGGCAGTAAAGTACAGTATCAGACATTACTCACTGAGTGTCATTATAGGACAGAGAAATAGAGTGATTAGCAAACAGCAGTGCTGTGCTCTACAACTTGTGAATTAAATGCTAGTGACATTCTAGTTCATTTGAACAGGCATGTTCAGGCAGTGGCATCTTGTGGTTTGTCATATATGGAGGCTTTCATTGGCGATAAATCAGGCCAGCTACTTCTGATCCTAAGGACAGAATTAATGTCTATCAGCTAACGGTGTTTTTATAGCCACTGAGCCTGTTGAAAAGGGAGAACCGACTGGTAGACTTGACGTTCTATATTATATGCATGGTTCTGTTATTATTTTTTGGCCATGTATCTAAAACTGTTTTTTCTCTGACTTTGTGCATCTTTGGCACCCAACTGTAAGACAAAGTGGGATATTCACACATTATGATAATTAACTTAATACAGTTGGCTGGCACACTCTGCACACACCAGCACCACTGCCAGTCACCAGCACTACTTCAGTGGGGAACACTGAAATGACAAACATTCACAATCCGCACCGCAGTTCTGGAAGATGGAACGACGTTCTCCCCTCCAACCCCTACCGGCTGCTGCAGCTGCAGTCTATTGAGCTCTCATTATGTTACTAATGTTACAAAAGTTATTCATTTCACAATTAACAATTCAATGCAACAAAGTTATTATTCTGTTTAAAGTTAGTGTATATTTTGTAAATATTACACATTACTAAGGCTGTAACAGTACACATATTCATTGTATACCGTTACTATTTTACATGTATTTTTGTATTTTCAAATTACAAATTACTACAAATCAATTGTAATTAAATACATTTTCTCACAGCAGTATTCTGTATTTTCTTTTTTTACATTGGATGGCCTAGTATTTGTAATTTATAACAAGGTACTTTCTGATGTACAGTATTTGTGCGCATCTCTGCATGTAGGGAGAGTCAGGTGAAGCGACAGACACCAACATGACCGATCACATGACCTTACCTCCGGAGACAGCCCTGACCCTGCGCCACGCCCTTCCCCATCATCACAATGTCTGGCACGTTGTGTTTATTACCACATTAAACAAGACAGAGTATCAGGCCATTTAACATGAGCTCTGAGAGAATGTTTGGGACAAGATCCAAAATTCAAGGACAGCTTTCAGAAAATCACCATATCAGCATAAATTATAGGTTCTTTGTTCCTTTCGTATAACAGCATCTCTGTCTGCTACAGCATCCGCACTCGAAAATCCAGTCACCCCACTCAATCACTGTCTATATAACAAGACTACATCCAGCTAATTATTTTGTTTTCACTAGTCATGGTGATCCATGTGACACAATTGGCACGAGTCTTGTCATGTGTCATAGCTTGAGTTATTTGAATTACTGCTCATTGACATCATTTGATACCCGAACTCCAGCCATCCCAAAAATACAATGATGGCAATTCCACTTCCAAGGAATTCATTTCCATCGACCGGAAAAAAGCCTGTGAATGGAGCTTGAATAATCTGAACGAGGGCATATTTATCATGGAAAATGCGTATAATAGCAATCAGAAGTCGAGAGCTCCTTCATCCATTTTTCAGTAAAGATTTCAGTTAATATTTTTCATGCTCATTACATTCAATTTGCATGAAACATTCCAACATTCATCTTTATTTCCATTCCCCCTCTCCTTTTGTATTCACAATTGAGACATTTAACCTAGTCATCCATATATTTAGATGAGAAGTGAAAATGTGAATGACAAAACATTTACATAGACAAATGCTACTTTCTGAAATAGAGCTGAACAGGTTTGCATTTAGTCCGTATGCTGTGAAGTAAGAGTTAAAAGAGATAAACCCCCCACCCCACCCCCCGACACACACACGCACGCACACATGTTTCTTATTATATCTTTGTGGGGACTCATTTCTATGGGCATAACCCTAATCCCAACTATGACAACCTTAACCCCTATCTAGCCCTGTCCTTAACAAAATACAACACTTTTGGCGTTTTTATTTAATCGATTGCATTCATTGATTTTTATAAACACACACACACACTTACATATACATCTGGATGACTGCGTTGTGAGTGTATAGACCACCTATTTGTGATGGTGGTCCATGCTTTGGAGGTGTGGAGATGGTTTCCGTATAAATAAACACGCAATAGAGACACACAATGAAGCCCAGACACTGATCACGTGACAGAGGACCTGGGTGCATAAAAGTACAAATAGAAGCCAGCGTGTTGTGTTTAGATATTTCTATATTTATGTTAAAAATTATAACCTGGCCTAATGGTTGCTCAGTGAGTAGTACTGTTGTCTCACACACCCAGGATTGGAGGTTTCAATCTTGCCTGCGCTGTGTGTGTGTGTGTGTGTGTGTGTGTGGGTTTCCTCCTACAGTCCAAAGACATACAGTCTGGCAAACTGCAGTTTTTAAATTGCCTGTAGTGTGTGAATGAGTTTATGTACCCGGTGATGGGCCAGTATCCACATCAGGGTGCAACCCAGACTTGTACCCTGCCGCCCCCCCACTCCTCGGTCCCCCTGCCCCACCCATTTGTCCCACCCACAAGCCTGAACAGTACAGACTCGGAATCCGGCTGTGGCTAAGAGCACGACTGACTTTCTGGCATCTCGAAACTGAAACCGCAGATCAGAGCAACAACACAGCCATGAGGGGGAAAAACGCCGCCTGTAGAAATCCAAGATGTTGTTAGGAGGCAAAACCTTGTAAAATGTTCGAATACGACTGGCAGAGCTTTGAACCTTCTAACATGCATGGTTAAGTTGGCTGGCGCAAAAAAGAAAAGACACAGCATAACCAGGAGGTCTGCGCTGACAGAGCTGCAGGGGTCCTGATCTGAACCTGGAAACACTGCTGATCGTTTGACAGGGAACTATTCAGATTTTGGAAGAGCAGAAAGAAATAAGGCACTTGCGAGAGCTGCTAAGATTAAGTCGTGCCTGGAATGTGACAGACCCAGAGATCTTTGGGAAGATTTTGCTGCCTATTGAATTTAAATGAGGGCCCTTTTGACTGAACATGCACTATGTTTGGCACAAACTGATCATATCACCCTGGTAACATCATCCTCACCAACAAATATGGTAGTGGAAAGGATTCTGGTGCCAACAGAAGGGACTGGAGAAGGAAAAATGGACAGAACTTTAGCCAAATTCAGGAGGAAAACCTCTTTTAGCCCTGGATTTAGAGCGTACTGTCTGGACAATGACCTAAATCACAATTACTACATAAGAATGGATTAAAAACAAGAAGTTCAGTATTACTGTATATCCCAGACAAAAACCCTGAACTTAAATCCCATTAAATCAGGTGTAGCGGCCTATAGAAATGGGTGGTAATGTTACAGGGAAATTTTGCCAGCGTTATTATTGTAGAGTGATGTTCATATTATCAGAGGTGCAGCCAGGTGTGTTTTAAAAAAAATCTTTTCCTTTCTATGGGCAAGATGTTGATGAAACAGATTGAGATTTATTTTCATGTTGGAGTTAAGTTGATTATGCACTGAATGTATTAGTGTGGCATGTTTATTCACTAGAGCTGATAAATTGTATTTCGCTGACGGACACTGTTATGGGGTGTTTTTTTTACTTTGTCCAGTCACATCTGTGCGAGAAAGTCCTGAGAGAAGAGGTGGTTTTGGGGCGCGTGTGGGCGGGAAAAGAGTGGGGGAGAGAAGCAGAGAGCGTGGGGTGCTTCTCGGCTGGTGGATTGGTGCGGAGAGCTCGTGCGGGATTCTTCTCTGAGGATGATGCAGATTAAAACTGGGCAGCACCGGGAACTGGTCTGATTTGGGGTTCAGACTGTAGCCTTAGTTAAATCTAAGCTTCACCGGGGATTTGCTCGGTTGCCGGACAGTCGCGGAGAGCAGAGTTAAGCTCAGCGAAATTTAACTGCGCGAGCAGCCGAAGCTAGCGGGACCTCGGTCGGCTTTGGACCGAAACCCTGCCCGGAGTAATGGACCATTCAGCTTGCAGGACTGGGGTTTTTCTCATCGCCCTGGTAGTGTGAGTACTCCTGCCCAGTAAGAGCTCCAACGTGCACTGACTAGCTGGCTTACAGTGTGCCACTCTCTTAGCACAAAACCCGGGGGTTTCTTTTCTCTTCCTGTGGTTTCTTCATGAGGGAGAACATTCCGGTAAATGTGCATATTGTTTAAATGTCCTTTGGTTTTTTTTTGATTGCTCAGAAGGGGATGTGACAGCCCGGGGATACGGGACGGGAACTCACAGTAAAACAATTTCATGTTCTCCACCTGAGACGGTGTTTCTTTTTTTTTGGAAGGGGGGAGTTAGTGCTAGTTATTAATGGTAATGGGTGTGTGTGAAAAGGGAGATATTGATGATAGAGCAGTGATATGTGCTACTGTTGATATAAATTTATACTGTAGCTACTTGGCAGTTTGGTGAAGCGGAACTGAAATTATTCAACTGTGAATACGCCTATGGTGGGCAGCCCACTCCTGGCCGATTCTACTCCCCCTGTATTCTTGTGCCACAGGGGGGTGTTGTTAATTTTGCAGAGTGGGGATGGCTACACAAATATTGCATAAAACTGTTACCTACCTTCTGAAAGTAGGATTAATAGGTCTAGGGGGATAGATATAGTTTCAAATCAGTCTTAGGTAGGCAACAGTCCTCACAAATAGACGTCTGTATCCGGTCAGTAAGTGTTATTAGGTAGTTTTGCTTGTTTCTTGACATTTCTGGCTCCAGGATTAGCAATTAGCAGCTGTAAACCATCAACTTTCGTTACCCTGTCCCTTTGTCTTGGTAAGTAAGATAGCCGAGCTTATTTTCAGTTACCAAGCATAAAGCATCAACAATCATGAAGCATCATCCCCTGTGTGAGGACACCGATGAAGCCTCACGCTCAACTAAGTCGCTCATTTCTCTCCATGCACATTTTCATCTACAGCTTCCAATACATTCCTGTTCTCCATCACAGACTCAACGCCTATATTCACAGGAAGAAACGTATCCATGACATCCTTCGCCTGGTTCCAATAATTTGAGCTGACCTCACCTACTCCACCACTGGACTATGGACCTATCAGTCGACAGTCAAAATAGCTGGTTTCCTGCTTGCCCTTGCCACCCACTCATCAACCACACTCCGGCACTCACAGAAACCTGGAACCTCCCTGACAACATTGAAAATACATCTGCTGTGTCCACCAGCTTCTCTTTCTCCCACACTCCCTGCTACATTGGGTAGGGATGGGGGACAGTTTGGCAAATTTCTAAGCGCTGGACATTTACTCCTCTCTTCTGCCTGTGCAACAATTCTACGTGTCAGTGCCACACACCTACTGTTTTTAACCCTGGGCATTGTCACCATCTATCGCCAACCACCATATGTCTATGACAGCAAAACATGCTCCCATCAGGCAGCCCTAATGACATCTCACTGAACATCATCCTCGAGAAACCAGTGGCTGCTCATTTCCTAGCCCTCCTGGCATCACTGTTCCTGAACAGACTCTGTACTCCATCGTCTCATAAGGCTGGAAACCAACTGGGCCTTGTCCAGACATCTAACTATCACAGACAGGTTACTTCTGACCAATCTACATGTATCTCATCACTTTTTTGAATTTATCTTGTTGCTCTCTACATGTCCTTCTGCCTTCCATCCTTAGCTCTCCTACCTTAATCGTTCCCTCTCTTACTTGCTTCTCTACCTTGATCCCCCCTGCTCTGCCCTTCCCTTCCCTGAACATTTCATTTGATGCAAATAAGGCCACAGCCACACTCTACTCTATCCTAATTTCAAAACTCAAGGACCCCTTCAAGACTTCATTCTCACCCCTGGCTCTCCAGTGCTCTATTTGGGTGACAGGAAAAGTTCAGGATAGCTGAGGTTCAAAGGAGACCAGGTGAATTTGGATAAGCAATCATCTGTTACTGCTGACATCACTTCTGCTAAAACTACCTTTTATCTCCCCATATACATGCAACCTATTCTTCTCCATTGACACCATCCATTGACACACTGAACCATCAGATCCTCTTGTCCACCATCTTTCAACTTGCCACTATAGGTTTGGAGTCTATCTTGGAGAGAAAAGGCATCCACATCAAAGTAATATGGAGTAATATCTGGTGTGCTTCAAGCCTCTTTACTCCTCCTTCTTTCTGTACAGAAGAGAGTTCTGATCATCCAGTCTCCTGGCTTCTCCTACCAATACTACACAGCTGACATCCAACTCTATCCAACCTACTCTCCAGAGGACACTCAGTCTCAACTCAGATTTCTGTGTCCTTGCTGACATAGCAGATGGATTTGCACCTCCATCTCGTCCTTTTGAAGATACTTGATCTTGTCTTCCCTGCCTGATCTATCATTTAACAGGATATTACTGTCCAGCTTGGATCTTCTACATTGTCTCTCTCAAGGCTTGTTAGGAATCTACGGTTAATGACATATAACTCACTAACCTCTGCAAAGCACATCTTCAGATCTTGGACATTTACATCAAAGAATTCAGACCTTACAACATCAAGAATTTTGGACTTTATCAGAATATGCAGCCGAGCTCCTTGTCAAACCACACATCACCTCTTTACTGACATGGTTAATAGCTTGTGCTGATAAGCCACTGCAGAAGATTCTAAGCGCAGCAGCATGTCTGTTATTCAGTGAGATTAAATGCTCTTATTTTCCATCTCTCCTTGTCTCTCTTCATTGGCTGCCTCCAGGAGGTGCTTTCTTTGAGAGCTGTTAATGGACCTTCAAGTCAGTCATATGGACCTCCATTCCTGATGTAAGTAAATAAAAGTAATGTAAATGATCACTTCCTGATGGGTAATATAACAGATAGTGGTTTTATGATAAAAGCCTTAAGAAAACCGTTTCCATCTCGAGCCACTGAGATTTTATTATTGCTGCAGCTTTTAAACAAAATGCTGTAAAAAGAATAGATCTTTTTAACAACCAGCACAGTATGAGGTTTGTATACAGTCCAGCCTTTGCTTGGTGAAGCTGATGGGATGAGTAAATAAAAATGCCTTCTAGACAGGGGCACTGAATGTTAAATCAGTCCCCGTTTAATTGAGCGTAGGGTCTTCAGTATTATTTTGTGTATAAGCACCAACACCTTTCTACATTCCATTAAATTCCACTGTGGGCTGCCATTCTGTGCAAAATTACAAAAAGCACAGACTAGCCATACATGTCTTTGCATGAGTAATTGAGAACAAGCCATTTTCAGCTCCATTTAATGGTATTTGCCCTTTCTTATGATGTTCTGCAGGGTGCATAAAGTCCATCACCGCCAAGACAGACTGTCTCTCTAGCCACCAGCTATGGGAAAAACTCGACATCGTCAAACAGATCAAACAACCGAGAAAGACGCATCTGGCAAACACAAATGGCATTGAAGCTGAACGTGGATTGGGTAAGCCTGATTTTTCATCTACATCGAAGGTGTCGCCATCTCCATGATTTGTGAGTATTTGGCGCCGCAACACTGGTGTTACTCCAGCCAAGAGGTGGCTTCCCAGAGGCTGCCATCAAAGAGTTATTTCAGCTTGGTTTTTATCAAATGGGCGGCTTACACTTTGAACTAAAGCCATTCTGATTTAGAGCCTCTCTACGCAAAGAAAGGACTGGGTGATGGATTCCCCTTTGCCACCACAGCTCAGAACTCTATCCCATGATGGAGCAGTGGAGTTCAAAAGCAACCAAACCGCCACTCGCTGGATACAATGTTCTTCACTGTAGTAATGAAACATTCATCCCTCCACTCTCCAAAGCTACCTATCCAGTACAGGACTACGGTGACCCTAGGGACTACCCCAGAATTTTATGGGTATAACTGTAATACTAACTATGACAACCTAAACCGCTACCCTGCCCTAACCTTAACCATAAGTAACCAAACAAAATACAAAACTTTTGGCATTTTCAGGTTTTTTTTTAAAAAAAATAAAATTTTCCCTTGTGGGGACCAAAAAAATATCTCCAAAAGGTCAAAATAACAGATTTTTATCACATTGTGGGGACACCTGTTGAGGACATTTCTTCAGGAGCTTCTTCCCTGCATATCTCATCTGAATACTTTGCATATCAATCATCAAATGTTGCTAATCTTGTCAGCATCGGTTCTCCATGCAGTCGCCAGGTGCTCGTATTGAGCTGGCACGGCTCGTGTCCATCCGAGGACGTAAAGAAAAGTGCGGAGCTCGTAACTGCAGAGCAACGAGGAATGACGAGCATCAAAAATAATCCAGGAATCAGGGTCAAAGCATAAGTCCAGACATGAATCCATGTGAAGAGCTATACCTCATCCGAACCAGGAGAAGTCCACTCATCCGAACCAGGAGAAGTCCATAGTAAAAAAAATAAATAAATAATAGTGAAACATTTTCCTTTTGGAGTAAATGAGAAGTGGAAGTGAATAAACATAAACACACAGATGCACACTGCAGATGCGCACACTGCAGATGTGCACACTGCCATTCATATTACTGCAAGCTTATTATGTGTGATGCTTGCACAAGGATAGCCTACTACCTCATTTCGTCGGGCACGTGCACAGTGACAATGAACTTGACTTTAATATAATTTCTTAGGTTCTCTGCATTTCTTGCATATATTGTTTCTTTATTCCCAAATGTTGGTTTTTGTTTAGATTGTCCCCTTTATGGCCATCATAATGAAATACTGGAAAATAAACTGGACACATTTTCATTTACGCCCAGGCAGTTCATGCACAGATAATGTTAATGATGCTAGTCCCAATTAAATCTGCCAAATGGCCACATTGTCTGAATGCTCACAATAAATCTCAGCAAAATTAGAGTTCATTTCACTTTGGCACCGAATCTGACAGCACAGCAGATATCCCCTTTGTTGTTTTCCACTTAGTTACATTGTGTTATATGTGTATGTGGTTTTTCTAATAAATCTGGTTGCAGAAAGAACACTCACCTAGATCCAACAATGCATTTAAAACACAGACGATGAAACACCCTGTTACATTCTGTCAGGTCTTCTGTGTCATGTCATGTCCTCCTGACCCTCCTGTCTCTTCCCTATCATGGCCCTGATGAGCTGAATAACCATCGTTAGCCCTTTTATTTAAGCACCTGTTTGTCTCGTCAGCCCCAGCCTGGCCATTGACGTCTAACCTTCCTGTTGCCTTTGCCATCTCTTCTTCCAGTCCTCCCATTTTGATCCCTCGCAGTCCTTTTGTTCGCAGCCAGTCTCTGTTCATTGAGTTCAATAAAATTACTTTTGTTTCAACACAACACCTGCCCTCAAGTCCTTCGTCCTGTATGTTGTGACATTCTGAAAGAAATGCTTTGTAATTGAAATTAAAAATGACTAAACCATGAACACAAATCATCCAGCTCATCAGCAATATTCAAATGCTAGTTCTCATCATCAAATTAATACAGAGGACCATACCTCATCAATTTTAATGCGCATTTTTCTCTGTGTCTCTTTATAGATTCGGCTTCAGGTATCATCTCACTCTCAGGTCTGGTTCCTCTTCACAAAAAGGAATAGACTGCAAACTCATCCTACATTTTAAACAAGCTGTGTCATTTTAACGAGATGCCCCAGCCATTCAGGCCCATTCATCATTGCAGCAAATAAAAAAAGGCGTCTTTTGGAGTCTTGCTCCTGAGGCTATCTGGTTTTGATTTTTCCAGCCCTTCTACATAAATTCACAGGATCCTGGGAGAACTGATGACCTCCTTGCCAGAAATAAGTTTTCACCATTTCTCAAATAATTCCTGTCACTGAGGCTAGGTCATTTGTTATATTAAAAATAATAAATAAAATTTATTTCTGTGAGGCAAAAACACCTAGTTGTGGTTTCTCAGTGGTTTATTGTACAAAACTTTCTCCATTTCTGACACCATCTTCCATAAGTTTAATTACTTTTACTTACACAAATATTTACATTTAAACCACATTTAAAATATAAAATATACTGTATGCGGATCTGCAGCTTGAATGCACTCCCTATCACCACTTAGATAAGCCCTTTCCCTAATCTCACCCAATTCCTCTTCTTCCCCTGCGCTGATGACACCAAAATGGTTGTATTTGGTTTTGTCTACTGTTTTGTTAAACTTACCTAAATAGCCTCCCATGTCATGTGGTTCTGTTGCCCCCCCATCCAGGGTGAGTCTTGCAAGTGCTTATGACTACAGTTTCTTGGAATGTTTTTTTGCGCTCTGAAAACTGAGAAAGTTTGAAAAATACGTCATAAACAAGAAATAACCAATATGATTGCATTAAGATGTTCCATTGCTTTTTTTACTCTTTAAATTTGCAAGTGCTGTGTTACTTTCAATCGGGCTAAATCTCTGCATAAAGACTATTTCATTTTAGTGGACCTTAAATCGGGCTTCCATTCTTTTCAAAGGGACCAAAACAAAGAGTTACTCCTGCCCTAAGGATTTAGCAGAACTAAGGTGTAAATGATAAAGACTCACAATGACCCAAAACTGCTGACTGCCTCAGTAAAGAGAAGTTTGGCAAGACCGCAAGTCCTGCTACAGAACTCAAGATAAACAGCTTTGAGTTGTAACCACGCATGTAATAACACTGTGAATAATGAGTGTGAGAGCAATAAATCACAATAAAAGGACGCATCGCTTATGGGGGAAGAAGCACAGAGACGGCAGGTGTTAGCTTGGTGACGGCGGCGTTTTGGAAACATATGGCTGTTCATCCTCAGCTGGCAAAGTTAATGAAAAACGCCAACTAATCAGCTCAGCCTCGGTGTGCCGGTGCCTCACAGATGTAAAAGGCAGAGATAAAATGAGCACGTGTGGATGCTGCATTTCGCAAAAAAAAGGTTATCTTTTTCTAATTTCATGAACCACTGCACAAATGGCATTAATTGTGCCCGGCTGAAACATCTCGCATCCCCATGCAGTCGAAGAGCGAAAACACACGTTATCTAAGCCTAATAACCTCCCGGGCACAGTGCATGGGCTTTGTGGGGAATTATGAATGCGGCAGGGCTGATAAGTAGATGAATGGCAGCGGGGAAAATAAAGGCGACATTCTCTCCCTTCACAAACACAAAATCCTGGCACAAAGGAGGTTTGTGTATTAACAGACTCCCAGCAATTAAGCTCCCTCCGCAGGAAGAGGGTCGGAGAGAGTCTCTGGACAGCGGTCACGTAAACAAGGGCCCGCTCCGGCAAGCCACGCTCAAGGCTGCTCAACCGTGATAACACCACAAGCGTGACGATCAATCTCATCACTAGACGGCCACCTTGACTGACATCTCGGCATTGTGACCTGCTTTTAACAGATGACCATGGTAGACTGCTTCAGAGGGTGACATTGCTTTTTCACGGATTCAAGTCTGAATCCAGTATCCCCCCCCCCCCTCAGAGGATTCCTGTTTTCCTAATGCCAATGTGGGTTTCCACTGTCTTCTGCTGTCGTTGCTCACATGCTGTTTGTGCATCTGCAAATCGGCATAACAAGGATGCCAGACCAATTTGAAAGGGAATTTAATGAAAACAGATTGAGGTATAAATTTTTATTCAGCTCACCAAGTTATGTTTCTGTGCTTATGTCCAGAAGGTTATGGGTTTGTATCCCATGGCTGGCAGAGTAATCACGTCGCTTCTTGAGCAAGATCCTTAGCAAAAACTGCCCTAGGGATGCTAATGCACCCTGCTGTCTGACCCTAAGCTTCGCTAATTTGTACATCGCTTGGGACAAATGCATCTGACCAATAAAGAAATATGAATAAATATCTTCTGTTTCTTTGCAATACGCCCAGATGGGAAAACAGTGGAATTAGCGGAGTCCCAGTTATAGCTACTCGCTGCACTTTATTGGTTTCTCAGTATAAAACTGAAGAATTCGACATTTTTACTGTATAACCCCCGCAACCACAGAAGGTGCCATTTTTCTTATTTGTTTTCATTGGTCTTCTGTAGGTCCAATTTATGTAACAGCTCTGCAACAAACGACACACACCAGCGCTCAGACAAATTGCAATTCTGATTTCTGCCCAGAAAAAGACGCTCTTACTTTTTGCCCCAGACAGCTCAGATTCTCAGCATAAAAGCTTGCTGTTATGTGTTTATTCTTGGTGATTTTTCAATGTTTTTCTACTTAAAAAAAAAAAACTACCCAAATGCTTAAAATGCAATAAATGACAATTTATGTAAATTTTACAATTATTGTGTATTTTATGCATAATACAGAATTCAAGAAATACTTTATAGTATACTAATTTTAAAATAATTTAAATATATATTAAATAATATATAATAAAACATTTTTTGCAATTATAATTATAAACATTCAAAAGATAAAATATGACAATAATTGAAAATATCCTGCATCCTCCACACTTATAATACACCTAATAAACTAATAAAATAATATTCAAAATTCAAAAGTAATTATCATTTTAAATATTTGATTAATTTGCAATATTTTGACTATTGGTTATAAGCAAACGTAAATTGTCAGGTTAAAGAAAATGGCTCCTTCAGTCAAAAACAAAACTGTGCAAAACTTGAATGAGATTCAATTACAGGCAAAGCCGCCAAAGCCAGGCTGGCATATTTTAATGAGCCAACGCTACCAGCAAAGTATGAAAATTTTACTTGTTAATCCTCACACTACACACCTAATTATACGGCAGCAATTAACTTCCGGCACTGAGTAGGTACAGCTCGTCCCAGTCCATTAACTTGTGAACTTTACCAAACGTTGGTCGGGGAAATTAAACTTGTGATGTGCGGGCAGGCGTCGATAAGGAGCAGCACGCTTTTTAAAAAATCTTAATTAACGTCGCTGGATTTCTCGTGAATAGCTTTCTCGTCCCACAGAATTCTGTCATAATCTCTCCATTATATCTTTAGTTAATTGCTCATACTGCTGCATAATTTAACCACTGTTTATACTGCAAAGACTGCCTGTGATTTTTCAATTCTGGTATTCAGAAGCATCCCGCGGGACTCATTACACTTTATGTTTGTTTGTAGGGCATTGCCATGAAGGAGCAGTCCCTCCTTCCTAGATGTCACACATAAATCCACTTATACCTGTATGAGTCACAGAGCTGAGTAGCGGTTCAGAGTCTAGCAGTATGGCCTTGCCACAGATCTCCAGTGCTGTGGACGTGATTCATGCTCCAGTTCTCTATGCGCATGGGTCGTAGCCTGGAGAGATACAGCTCAGATTAATTGAATTAGTTTCTTGAAGCTGCCCTCAGAGTGCCATTGTGCGTGTGCCCTGCTGTGAAGTGGCATCGAGGGCAGGGCGTCCCGTGGCTTGTGCTCCCTGCTTCCTGCGACAGGCTCCAGGCCTGTAATGACCCTCTATATTTCCTGTGTTTTTTTTTTGTTTTTTTTTACAAATGTCTCTCCAAATTTTTTTCCAACAATATTTCCAGAGCTTATCCTCATCATAACTCCCTCTGGCAATTCATTCTATGCTCACGTCTCTCTACTGATGCAGTCAGCAGGGAAAGCGTGAAATATAACCCCGCAGAGAAAACCGTGGCATCTTTGTTACAGACAAAATGTGGCAACTTTGTTACAGCGATGTTAAGGTTTGTAATGTTTACATTGTATTTAAACGATCTAGAACAACATGATTCTATACCATTTGTATATCATGATTCTATACCATTTGTATATCATGATTCTATACCATTTCTATATTATGATTCTATACCATTTCTATATCATGATTCTATAACAGTTTTTGAGGATTCAACTGAAAATCGTATCATTTGTCTTTCTATTTATTATGGGGACAATAACAAATCTGATAATTTATTAGCAACATGCTCTGCTTTAAAGGGTCGATCTGTTGAGTTTGCTGTCTGCTTCCATGTTTTAGGCTGTAGCTGATATTTGAGTACCTCATAAGACCGAATGACCCCAGTGTGACCTGTGAAATTCCCATTATGGAAGTGCAGTTTATGTCAAGCTTTACCAAATGTAAAAACTATAATAAATCAGTGGTGCTTTTCAGTCAGCTGGCTTCCTCCCGAGTGCCCCCTCTGCCAAAAGAGCCCCGCAGAACAAGGCTGACTCAAAAGCACAAGTGTAAACGCCAACCGCTAAAGAAATATACAGACAGGCCCGGCAGAGGGTGTTCAGGTTCCCTAGATGAAATTCTGCTGGGTCAATTCATTAATATTAAAAACATTTCTGTGGAACAAGGTATCCGGCGACTAACTAGCTAGATCACGTCTGTTTCACAAGAAAGGTAGTGAAACATTAAAACTAGTGTAAATAACTAATGTTACGGAATGCAACCAGAGGAATATCTTTTTTTTTTTTTTTTTCCTTGCAATTTTGCACCCCCTAATCAAATAGTGCTCTAGGCCAGTGTTTCCCAACCCAGTCCTCAGGGAACCCCAAACAGTCCACGTTTTTGCTTCCTCTCAGCTCCCAGCACACCTGTACCAGGTATTCGGTGTTCCTGATTGGCTGGGAGTTTGGAGGGAGCAAAAACGTGGAATGTCCGGGTTCTCAAGAGGACTGGGTTGGGGAACACTACTCTAAGCGATCGCTTATGTTGCCTGTATGCAGGTTTGTTTAACCGGGGGCCTGTATCATGAAGCATGATTTCATAAGTGGCCAGAGAGGTTGTCAGACTAAAGGTAGTCTGGGTTAAATGAAAGTGAAAGATGATAACGCCCATTTAAACTGGGGCACATTAAATCCAACAAGTTATCCGGCTAAGCAAGATATCAGGCTTCATAACACAGGCCCCTGAAAGTCTAAGAGAATAAAAGAAAAATAAACAAAGGATGCAGAAGAGGAGGATAAACAAAACCTCCTGTGGAATTTGTAGGAAAAACAACAAAATCTCTGAAGGCTTAAGGTCAAGTGGTGACATGCTGGGCATGACAATATTGCAGTAATCCGAGAGAAGGATGCATGTATTTCTGTGTGTGAAGGTGAGAGTTTAATGGTGATATGCCTCGCACACCCACATCATGCACGACAGCTGTGCAATCAGTATGTAGGAAAATGTCATTCCGCGGACTGTACCTCCAGTTTCCCGCACTCCTTCGATATGAAATTCACTCTGTAATCTGCCGTGACCTTCTCCATTTCACTTCAGACATCTGCAGGATGCCT